AAGGGGCGGGAGAAGCTGACGGAGGAGGTGGAGCAGAAGATCGCCTCGCAGGTGGGCCGGCTCCAGGTGGAGCTGGACCGCAAGAGCTCGGAGCTGGAGAAGGCCAAGCAGGAGAGCCTGCGGCTCAGCCGGGAGAAGCAGGAGCTGGAGGACCGGGCGTCTGAACTGTCCCGCCAGGTGGACGTCAGCGTGGAGATGCTGGCCTCCCTCAAGCAGGACCTGGTGCAGAAGGAGCAGGAGCTCACCCGCAAGCAACAGTGAGTCCTTTGTCCCCTCTCCTGGCTGCAAGGTGGGGGGAAATTGGTCCCTGGTGGCAAGCCCCAAGAGCCCAATGCCATCACCAGACCCCCAGACCAAGCGCTAGGGCACAATCCCCTTGGCAATGCCCACTAGCATCATCGCTCATCAGGTTCTGCATCTTCTCCCACGGAGGCAGTGTCCACGTAGACCTGAGCCTCTCCATGTCTGTGACCAAGCTACGTCACAGCATGCCAGACCTTGTGCCAGAGCCACCAGTGCCCCCAGGACATGGCCAGGCTGGGGATGCACATGGCCATCCCGCTGTCCTGCCAAGGAACGTGGTGGTGGCCATGTTGCTGCAGCCCATCTCTGGTACCAAAGGGTGTCCCCCCAAAACCAGGACTGGGTCATCTGGCTTCACAGCTGAATCATCCAGCCCTGTACAACCTGAGCAATCTCATGATCATAAACATGAGAGGATCCAGCTTGGCCACGCCTAATTCAGAGCTTTTATCCCAGAAGGAGGGTGGTATAGCCCGAGCAGTATGACCTCCATCAGCTGTGGACCATGGCACTGTCATCCTCATTTTCATGCCATGTTCCCCACTCAACACACCCTTCCTACCCCAGAGCTGCCCCTGAGTCTCCCTCCAGTCAAGCACTGGCTCATTTTGCCAAGCGATGTCGGTCAAGTAAAGTAGAGCTTGTTCCTCAAGAGTTTCTCAGCAAAGCTGGAGGCCACCATGGGGTCCAGAAAGTCAGTGAGGAGCAGAATAATGGGGAACAGTCATGGTTGTGCTGGGCTGGGAGCACTGGTGGAATTCCTCAAGGACTTATCTTGATCCCCACCATCCTCAGCGCATTGATTAATGACTTTGACTCCCAAATAATGACTGCACCTCGGGGTGTGGATGCACATGTATGGGACAGGCGGTGGGGAGATGTAGGGGCTGCCATCAGCTGCCTTGTGGGTGTTGTCCAGGAGCATCTTGGGGGTGCGTGGTGGCAGGATGAGGGCAAATGGGGTGGACAAGTCTGGAGCAGGGCCTGGAGAGATGTGAGAGAGAGCAGACAGAGGGTGACCAATGGGTCAAACATGTCTTGTTCGGTCCATGGCGGAGCCTGGACACTGTTGCCACCTAAAAACCTGGTTTTATAACCCAAAGCTCCCTCCTGGACCTCCCTTTCCTTAGAGAAACCCTCCTGCCCCTTGAATGTCCCCATCAGTCCCCAAACTCCTCCACCCAGAGCGACAAAATCACTTGCCAGGTTGCAGAGGAAGCGCGTGGAGAGCTGATGAAAAGGGATGGGTTTTTCCTTAGATGTGGGGAAACCATCAGAAAACATTTTCATCGGCAAAGCCAGATGCAACCTTCCCCATGTGGAAAACATTGCCCGGGACATCTCCCAGCCCTGCCAGCTCCAAAACACCACGAGGCCGTTGTCCCCGTGGGAGGCTTTTAGCTCCCGGGCTCCGTTTGCTTCCCTGGGGGTGATTTTCCACCGGCTTCATGGGAATGAGAGAGGTGCCGGTGACAGCCATCAGCGTCACCTTACACCCGCCGTGCCAGCGCCCCATTTGCCTTCCAGATCTCCCGGGACCGCTCACCAGGAGCCTTCCCGAATCACTACCGAGCAGCTCCCGGGCTCGCTCTGCGAATGGCAGGTTGGGGGGCAATTAATTGGTGATTAAATGGCAATTAAGAACCAGCAACGGGAGTTGTTATGTTGCTAAGGGCTGCCCCCTCCTTTTCCTTCACGTTTCTGTGCGGATCAGTGCGGCTGGGTGTGCGCGGTCGGGTGTATGTGGTAGGGTGTGCGTGGTTGGGTGTGCACGATCGGGTGTGCATGGTCAGGTGTGCACAGTGGGGTGTGTACAGTCAGGTGTGCGTGGTCGAGTGTGCACAGCTGGGTGTGCATAGTCAGGTGTGCATGGTGGGGTGTGCATGGTTGGGTGTATGTGGTCAGGTGTGCACGGTCAGGTGTGCGTGGTTGGGTGTGCATGGTCAGGTGTGCGTGGTTGGGTGTGCGTGCTCAGGTGTGCGTGGTTGGGTGTGCGTGCGGGGATGTGAATGGTCAGGTGTGCACAGCTGGGTGTGTGTGGTGGGGTGTGCGTGGTGGGGTGTGCACAGTCAGGTGTGCGTAGTCAGGTGTGCATGGTCGGGTGTGCATGCTGTGGTGTGCATGGTAAGATGTGTGTGGTTGGGTGTGCATAGTCAGGTGTGCACAGTTGGGTGTGTGTAGTTGGGTGTGCATGGTCGGGTGTGCGTGGTCAGGTGTGCACAGTCGGGTGTGTGTAGTTGGGTGTGCATGGTCGGGTGTGCACGGTCAGGTGTGTTGTGGGGTGTGCACAGTCGGGTGTGCACGGTGGGATGTGCATGGTTGGGTGTGCACAGTCTGGTGGGGCGTAGTTAGGTGTGCACGGTCACGTGTGCAGTCAGGTGTGCATGGTGGGGTGTGTGCGGTCAGGTGTGCATGGTCGGCTGTGTGTGGTGGCGTGTATGTGGTCGGGTGTGCGTGGTTGGGTGTGCATGATTGGGTGTGTGAGGTGGGGTGTGCATGGTTGGGTGTGCATGGTCAGGTGTGCACGGTCAGGTATGCATAGCTGGGTGTGCATGGCGGGGTGTGCATGGTTGGGTGTGCACAGTCAGGTGTGCACGGTTGGGTGTACAGGGTCGGGTGTGCATGGTCAGATGTGTGCGGTCGGGTGTGCACGGTCGGGTGTGCGTGGTGGGCTGTGCGTGGTGGGGTGTGCATGGTTGGGTGTGCACAGTTGGGTGTGCATGGTGGGTTGTGCGTGGTCGGGTGTGCACAGTTGGGCGGGTGTAGTCGGGTGTCGGGTGTGCGTGATCGGGTGTGCATGATTGGGTGTGTGAGGTCGGGTGTGCATGGTTGGGTGTGCATGGTCAGGTGTGCACAGTCGGGTGTGCATGATCAGGTGTGCACGGTTGGGTGTACAAGGTCGGGTGTGCATAGTCAGGTGTGCATGGTCGGGTGTGCACGGTCCAGTGTGCGTGGTGGGCTGTGCGTGGTGGGGTGTGCATGGTTGGGTGTGCACAGTTGGGTGTGCATGGTGGGTTGTGCGTGGTCGGGTGTGCACAGTCGGGCGTGTGTAGTCGGGTGTGCATGGTTGG